CTTATGCGTTTTCAGTAGAGATTTGGCATGGTGGTCATGGACATGCCACTAGCAGCAAAAAGTGCTTATAATTATTAAGGCTAGTAACTGTCTATGTGGTCTAATAGGTTATACAAACCTAAAAAATTTTTTTATTATATAATTTTTTATACTTGTATTATGCTATATAGTTTCTATTGAATAAATCAGCATTTTATTACACATCATAGTATGAATATTAGAATTTTTTTGATATTAGCGTTATTGTGTTATCAAAATTAGACTATTTGAATATTGAGATAAGATGCATGTAAAATTAAAAGAAAAGCGATTTATCTGTAAAATTAGCTTCTGTGCTAACATTGAAAATTTTCAAACATAATTTTGTTTATATTTCAGCGGGAAAGTTAAAACGGAATCCCATAATGATTAATTTCGACATTGGATAAAAGGAACAAGATTCTAAGCTGGACAGACATACGAATTTTTTTTGCTAAAATATTAAATTAGTTTCTCATTTCTGGATCAGAGCGGTGGAACTTAATCCAGACAATAAGTGAAAAACTTGGATTTCTTGAGTTTTCCAGGGTGTATAAAATAAAATAAAGAAAATAATAAATTCAAAATAATATATTCTTTGATTTTATGTTCCCAAATCAGTGTATGTCTGTATTTTAAATTTAACTTTAATTGCGTGATATATACTTTTCCACACAATAAAACTGATGAATGGATTCGATATTTATTGCACCATGCCATGCAATTTTTACTAATTGCAATATTAATTATACATTTACTGTATATTAAGAGAATTTTTGTTAACATTTTGCAAATTAGTAAACTTGTCAAGTAATTCCGAAAATTTACTTGCAAAATACGAAGCGGCACTCCGGAACCTAACGGATCCCGTTTTCATAGTAGAAATAAATAGAAAATAGAGATAAAAATAAAATAACTTTGATCACGCTTAATATTAGGTAACTTTATTTGTGATATCGAATAATTCAGTTAGTGTACTACGCTTACATACGTACGTGCGTACGTGATTGATTTTTAAGTTTATCCAATTATACAATATTATTATGTAATTAAATTTTTACATATTAGATGTGGTTCTACGGGAAGCCTAATTTCTCTCCTAACCTCTGATTGGATGTATGAAAATATTATCACTGATTGGAAAAGATGGCTAAGCAGGGGTATGCCTGCGCCAGATTGCAATCGGTTGAAGCAGTAGCATAACCACTACCCCAGTGAGACCATGAAGATCATCGTATATGCACCAATCGGATTTTTTTGAATGATCGTCGCCAATAAGATCACTAGATCAGGTGTATAAAAAAACAGGCAATAACTAAAAATTTTAATGATGAAACCACTTTCTGCGCTCTAATAAAAAAAATTTTCTTGTGAAATTTTGATATATAGTGTGCATATTGTAATCTCTATCCCAACCCTAACATGAGGTTTTAGTACTTTAAAATATTACGTATATTGAAGTTGTTTTGATCGTGATTATTCGAAAAAGATCTGATTGGTGCATATACGCAATCTCGATATGGGAAATCATTAAATGCAAGGAGAAACTAGTGATGGGCAATGCGCATGATTTTTATATATACTTATAATGCCGGCAAAGCAATATAATGCTGGTAGATTATCTAATTACTATGTACGGATTTATTAAAATGGTAAGTATTATTGTTATCACTATTGTTACGTATATTATTGGTGAAATCCTACGTATACTTATTAATTAACTTATTTATATGTACAATGGTTCACAAAAATTTTTCTGATAATTACGAATCCATTATTATACGTTCTTTTATCCAAGCTGTTTATAAAGTTTACAAAATTGAAACAGTTTCAGGTTATAAACAACTCCGAGATAAATGAAAGTTTATGTAATGAAAATATTGCAAGATGCAAAGAACATTTAAAAATTTGGAAAGAAATAAATCCAGAAATTAAACTATATTTTAGTTCTAGTTCTTTAGCTCTCTACAAATATGAACCGGAATTTTTAAGATATTCCGAAAAATTCCCATGCGCATGCGCATGAAATTGAGTATAATAACCATAATCAATTTCTGGCTAAGCACATAAAATAGGACAGATGCCGTTATAACAAATCAGCGAATTAACAACCGTGAAAAGCGAACAAACATTGCACCCAGTCCTCCCAAACCATGTAGAATCCTGTCATTTTGCGTTAACTTGGCCTGTTTTATGCAGTGTGGGAGACCACCTACTGATGCTACGCACCGCGAATTCAACTGAAGACGGAGGTATCTGACGCCATTTAGTTGCTAGTTCTGGGAGTATACCCTGTCACAGTTTATACATCAATTGCACTGATGTATGCTACAATATCTATTAAAAAGCTGCCAATAAAGTTTAATATCTGGCTTTAGTAACTAGGTGCATCCAAAAGAATAGATAGTAAAATAGAATAAACACGATAAAATATCATCACGGGTTTGCAATCCTTTTCGAATAGATTACGCAACTTTTTGCTATTGTTACTGGCGAATCGGTGGGATTACACACACAAAAGCAATTAAGAAATGCGACGAATTGTCGCTTGACAAATGGTTATGCCGCGTAACGTTCCTCAACGTCTTAGAGGCGGGACGATTTGGCACTGGTATAGGCGACGATTAAGGAGCGTTATTAAGAGAGTTAGGATGGGGTAAGTGAAGTGGTCCTGAAAGAGCGTTCTACTTTGTGAATTTTATTTTCTCTGAGTAGGAATTTTAGGGGTCTTTATTTATTAACTTTATTACTTTTTGTAGGGCGGGGAAGGCACACACTTTGTTCAAGCGAAAATGATTCCTTTTTATAAGGATTTTACAGAGAAGCAAGAAGAACATTTTCGAAAAATTCGCTATTATTCTAATACATTTTGTTCCATTACCTCAAGCCCTTTTCCCTCTTTTAGCTAATTCTTTTACCTTCACAGCCTCTAGTTCCCTAACAACGCTTCCACGTCGTTCCCCTCTATTTTTCACGTAGAACCCAAACCAATTCATTCCTTTTCGATTTAACTCTTTATCCTTTACTTTTCACAGCCTCTACTTCTTGCTCATTCAGTGCTTCCTTTTTACCTTCCAATCAACGTTCTTACTCCTACAACCATTCCATCAATATTAACCCATTGACTCATTTTAGCCTTTACTTTCGTCAATCGGGTTAATGCAGATTACTTTACCATTTCGGGCCTGACAGCGGTAATTGTTCTGGGGGCTTAGCGGCTACGGTCACGATCTCATGCAGCATCGATTCGGGACTTCACGGTTCATCCATTTTAGGCAGTTCTTCGAGGTCGGGGTACAGGTTTGCCACTAACACTATCAAGATCCGGTGTAACACAAAAATGATGAAAAAAATTGAAATTTTTTCAAAAATAGTCGATAACTTGTGATTTTACTAATGAAACCACCTTTCGTGCTTCAATAAAAAGAATTCCTTTCCAAATTATATTATTATATAATTTATTTTGATTAATACCACAATATGTTTATAAGCTTAGCCGTATTCTTGTTTTACTTTAGTCATGATGTCAGATCAGAATTTGTAACAAATTTTGTCCACGTCCAATAGGAACTAGGGGGGAAATTAGTAAACCCGTCCAACGACAGTTAAAGTTTGGTGTAAATAATTTTAGGTTCCACGACACTTATTTCCCCGAAAATATTTTCTCGGCAATATTTTCCCGACGAAAAATTTTCCCCGACATTTAGGCAGTGACGTAATTTCCATTTACTATAGCACGTACTGCATACTGGATCTGTGACATGTCGACCATAACCAATATAAATCGCAAATTACTCAAGATTTTACTATGATGGACCTTTAAATAAAAGTTTTCAGCACGAACTTTTAGTTATACGGGAACATTTTTAAATCTCTAATATTAAGTAAATTAAGTCTGCGCTGAATTCTGATCTTTGTGTTCTTTCAATTTGGTAATCGGCATAACCTGTCATAAGACTAATTGTGTTGGCCAATTAATCATATCTATATGTTTATGTGTAACGTAAGATATTCCCCACCCCCTAAAAATTACATAATAAATTTCTGTGCCCTTACTTCCCAGCAATAATTCCTGAAAAAATATTGATAGAACATTATTGTCGGGGAAAAATTTATGTTGGTGAAGTGCCATCGGAGAAAAAATTTTTGGAGAAATAGGTAAATACAGGAGAGACCGTTGATGTTATACAGTAAAATCTCCATAAGTGCACGCTTTTGAGACTGAAATTTTAACGACGTGCATTTAGAGAACAATAAGAAAAATGCATTTATGAAGTTGAGCGTGCATTTAGAGAGGACGTGCACTTATAGAGGGTGCACTTATGGAGGTTTCACCGTACAACAAATCCGACACCTATTGTGCAACACATAAAATAATGATTTTACAATACCAGACCATTCCGCTAGCGTAATAGTGCACTAAGATCTCTCCCTTTTCAATGTCTCCTATGCAAAATACCCTGGTGTAAAACATAGGATCTCTATCGGAGACCCGGAATTGGTGATTTAGTGTGATTTGATGTGATTCATAATATGTAATGATTAGTAATTATGTAGTTTGCATTAAAACAAATCGCATAATTTTCGTGTCCCTGATCTTTATTAATCAAATGCGAACCTTTTAAATTCCAGGACTGGTCAAAATGCGATGTATGTATGTACTTTAGGGATGTTAACCCGTTAAAAAAACAAACTTTACAAAATTAAACCCTTTTTTAGATTTTTTTGAGAAATTTCATTATTATTCATGATGCAATTCTTTTCTTAAAGCTAATAATCGACAAAGTGCTAATTTGTTTAAGTAGCACGATATAAATTTTATACCGTATAATAAACGTAACAAACCAACTATTTCAACGAATTTAAGCAAGTATCTAACCACCTGACTGGCACAGAATTCTTATGTAATCAACCTTTAATTTATAAATCTTCAATTTCATACACCAACGAGTTATTGTTCTTGAGAGATTACTAAATTTCCTATGTCGACTGACAACGATAATAAGGAAAATGAATTAAATGTGATAGACTTGGCCAAAAATTATGATTGGTCAGCAACTTGTCTCGGGCCTATGGATTCATGGGAACCTTCATTTAGAACTGTTGTGGTAAATTACTAATTGTTTCTCATTCAATATCAATATATTTAGTTTACTATTCTATTGTTAGGCTGATACTGAATTTGGGAGATGAAATTTAGACCTTATTTCTATATCAATATAAAGTTTTAAAATTCTTGGGCTTTTTTGATAGGTTAAAGATTTGGCTTTTTATGCCCAAATATTGGTATTAGTATCAGCCGTAACATCCTATTTAGTTTAAAAATTTAGTGAAATTTGTATGTTTATAACATAATTATCAGAATCTTTGTCTTCATTCTTCCTTCCGATTCGCTATCTACTGCGGTCCTGATCTCGTTTATATATATAATCAACGTCAAGGTATGTAAATGCTTGAATTAATATTAATTGAATCTGGTCAAATAATTGGTTCTATAATTACACCCATTTATATAGCGACGGCGCCAATGGCAAGATTAAGACATCCATTTGGTTAGTGTAATAATATTGTTTTCTTCTAATAAAGGATGGCAAACTAAATTATATATATAATTAAATAGCATTTGGAAAACCATTTATTGAATCTTTCCCCGAATACTTTGACTTTGTTAAGTCAAAATACGAGCAGTAAGTGCTCTAAATAGTTTATTTCTATTATTGTAATAGCTAAAGTAACTAAATTATTTTAACTATAATTAAACTTAAGGATAAAATCAACAAGAATAGGCATACTTCAAAATGATTGTTACTTACCATACTACCATGATGACTATGCAGAGGAACAATATCTTTCTTATGCGATGAGCCCAATTTTCAGAGAGGATGGTACTGTTTGGGGCATAACAAATATCATAATTGATACAACTCGTAAAGTTTTAGCCCATCGAAGATTAAAAACACTAAATGATCTGGGATATCGGAATGATGGTTAGTAATGATGAATATTAATGTTTGTTAAGAATTGTAAAATAATATTATACTAATATCTATATTATATTTTAAAGATATAGAATCTTTAGAATCCACTTGTAATATAATAATGTCAACATTGAATAAAAACGATAAAGACATTCCCTTTGCATTAATTTACCTTATCGATAATAGTAAATCAAAATTCGGCTTTCAACCACGTGTCGCCCATCTAACAGCAACCACATTTAATTTGGAAAGTATACCTGATAAATTACTGACAACTCCTAAAATAATTAATCTAACTAAGGCTACAGAGGAAAGTTACAACACATATGTGGAAATAAAGCGAGGGATAATAAATCATTTATTCTTAAAATGTAAATCTTGGCCAATTTATCTGGTTGCTAAAGAAAATAAACATATTAAGGTTCTTTTAAAAGATGAATCTCAAGCAGTGCTATTTCCAGTTAAAACTTCTTATGGGGGTAAACATATGTTATCTGCTATATTGATATGTGGGATTAATCCGTGTAGACCACTTGATGATGAATATTTTAATTTTTTACTAGTAAGTTTGTCCGTTAAATTTTAAATTTATGAAACTGGAAATATTAATTGTGTAATATTTTATTAATTGTTTAGTTAGTTGTGGATCATGTTAGTTCAATATTAACACGTAGTATTTTAAGAGAAGAGGAGAAAAAACAGATAGAAATGTTGGCTGATCTTAACCGTCAGAAAGTCACATTTTTCCAAAATATGAGTCAAGAATTGTTTAGTATTTATCAATTCCATAATATATATATACATACTGACTTTTAAATAAATAAAATAATGATATTTCTTTTTTTTGGTATTGCTAGCACCGCTAACATTAATACTTTCACCTCTCGATGAGACAATTATTTCGTGTACGCAAGAAACACTTATTCACACACATCTTCAAACTGTTCAACGTAACACTCGTAGATTACTTAAACTTGTTAGTAGTTTACTTCAGGTAATTCATTCATAATATTTAACTTATATTAAGATTTCATGCTATTATATTAATATATGAGTTTTTCTTTTTTAAATAAAAGTTTTCAAGTGTCGAAAGTGATCGATTAGATGCACACTATCGTGAAACTGATATAGCAAAATTTACTCAAGAATTAGCTGCTAATTTTATTAATATAGCCAAAAAACTAGGTTTAGATTATATTATAGATATTCCAAATCCAGATGAATTTAAACAAGCTTTAGAAAGTAAAGTTTACTTGGATCATAACATGTTCGAAACAATTGTTTATAATCTATGTAAGTGTTTATTTTTTCTAGCAATCATTGAATAATAGAAATAAACTTTATTTAAATAATATGACTTTAAAGGTTCAAATGCAATTAAGTACACTTGGAATGGACGAATCTGTATTCGATTGTACATCGAACACGATAATGGGAGAAAAATGGTCGTTCTTGAAGTATCAGATACAGGTTAGCTAATGTCTTTGCTTGTAATAGATTTATACATTTGTGCTTTCTACTTAATTTAACATCAATAATTCAGGTATTGGAATTTCTGAAACTAATCTTCCAAACTTATTCCAACGTTTTTATCGCGCTGAATCTCAACAGTCGCGTAGTCATGAAGGAACTGGAATAGGTCTTGCTCTCGTTAAAGAACTTATTGTGAATCATGGTGGAGATATTACTGTAACATCAAAAGTGGATCAAGGATCAATATTTAAATGCCGTTTTCTAACAGGGCATGAACATTTACCAAAAGATCAAGTTTATCTTAATTGGGAACAAGATCCAAATCGGAAATTGTACTCAATGAAACAACTATATTTGGAAGAAAATTTACAATGGATTCAAGGCAATAAACCTACAACAAAAGAAGATGTGCTAAATCTGGAATTAATGGATGGTAACAATATGAACAGTGATGAAATACTAGCGGATAAGACTATAAGTTCAGAAACCATGAAACATAAAGTTTTGCTTATCGAAGATAACAGTGACATGAGGTATTAAGTTTTTTGTTATCAAAACTGTATAAATTATCATTCTAAATATAATATATATTCATAGAAATTATTTGGAAGGATTACTAAAAAAAGAATTTGACGTTTATTGTGCTTGTGATGGCCGTGATGCTATATTTCTTTTAACAAAGCTATCCAAACCACCAGATTTAATCCTTAGTGGTAGGGAATTTTACATCATATTTTATTCTTAGCTATACACGATTAATTCTTTAATTTAATTAACAGATGTTATGATGCCAAATATGAATGGATATGAGCTATTAAATATATTAAGATCTAATATAGCAACACGATTAATTCCAATTATCTTACTAACTGCAAGGGCTGGTGAAAATTTTGGTATTATATAATTTTTTTTATGTTTTGAGAACATTTTATCAAATAATTTAAAGTTTAACACTATCATTTTTAGGATTAGATTATTGTGCAAATGATTATTTAGTAAAACCTTTTAGTTCTCAAGAACTAATGGCTCGTATACGCACCAATATTAAGCTCTCACAACTACGCTGTCAATTAATATCTCGACAATATAAGCAAGAAGAAATAAAACAATTATTAATTTCAATTTCAAGCAATATTCTTTCCGGATTTGATTTAAAAGAAATACTTTCAAAAGCAATTGAAGGTATTCACCGAATATTGCCATGCAATAGAGTATTTGTTATTTCATATGAACCCTCAAAAAATGGAAACCGTACAATGATTGCTTTATCTGAAGATTCGGAACTGACAAGGTAGCATTTTCAACATACTGAAATCTGTTAAATTATAAAATAAAATTCTAAATTATTTTAAATTATTGAATTTTTATAAAAAAGCGACAAGGTATCTGAACAGCAAGATATCAAAACTATAAAACTTACTACTCAGGAAACAGCATCCGATCAACAGGAATTTTTAGATTATAATGTCACTGAAGGTTTTAAAGTAGAAGTTTTACTTAATATATTTTGTATTGACATTGGCAAACAAGTCTCTATGTTATCAGCTAGGATAAGGATTTGTGAAGATTGTTGGATATGGATAAAAGCACAGAGACCATCAGATATTACTTGGCTTGATTCAGAAATTGAGTTATTTCAACAAATATCAAATCAAATAAGTATAGCAATTAATTATAAAGAATTGTTGCAAGAGAAATTAACAAAAGAAGCTCAAATAGAATCCATTAAAGCTGCCAATAACGCCAAAGACTTGATATTAGCCAATACAGCACATGGTATGAAAATTGTATTATTAGATATAATACAATGTATAATTATAGCTTCTTTATCTTATATAATAACTATTAATTTTAATTTAGAGCTACGAACTCCTTTAGTGGCAATTACAGGCATTCTCTATTCTCTTGAAAATGAAATACATACCCATCAGCAAAAAGACATGATTAAAATCATGTCATATACTTCTGATATAGTATTAGATAAAGTCAATAATGTAATTAATGAAGTAAAATTAGAGAAAAATGAAATTAATTTAGTAAATGAGACCTTTAATTTATTAGATTTATTTGAAAGTGCAATTGAATTATTTGGAGAAAGTGCGGGAAATAAAAAAATTGAGCTAATCTTAAATTACGAACCTGATTATTTGCCGAGATATGTTAAAGGTGATTCTGGAAGGTAATACTGAATTTTAATTGTTATTTTTGAAAATTTGAGAGGAAAAATTATTAAATATGTGAATTGTTTTTTTATATAGACTAAGGCAGATACTGATGAACTTATTACTAAATTCGTAAGTATGATTTTTTATCGAAATTGTAATGCAATTGAATTTTTAGTATATTAAAATTATTTAACATAGAATTTGTCATTCAGAGTTACTTTTACTGAAAAAGGTGAAATAATGTTGAAAGTCCTTTTAAAGCCGCAAAACATTTTGAGTGAAGATTTAGGAAAGGAGACTTATAGTCAAAGAGTTGAAAAAGCAAAATTATTAATTGAATTAAATGATACCGGAGTTGGGTAAGTTGATTATAATTTATCATGTATCATTTTAAATATTCCTAGTTATTCATAATACATGCTCATAATAGCATTAGTCCTGATTTCATGGATAAAATCTGGAATGGTAGTGGATTTGGTCTTAAAACTTGCAAAAAACTAATAGAAGCTAATGGTGGTGAAATAGAAGTTCAAAGCCAACTAGGAATAGGGAGTAAATTTTGGTTTACATGGAATGTCGAAATAATATCACCGATATTAGTACGAGAAGGTTCAGAACATAATATTGATTCAAAAAAGGTGCTATCAAGTGGATTAAATGATCACATTTTGAAGCATATATTATTAATTCATCCACTTGAAAATGTACGAAATTCAATAACAAATTTTTTTAAAAATAATATTAAAGTTGATTTATTTGATACATGCGATCAAGGGATTAAAGCGGCAAAATATTATAAAGGACTATTTAATCAAGTACCTTATAGCATAGCACTCATTAATCTTCATGAAAATAATTTTGACGAAGTTACAAAAGCCGCAGTAGAACTAAAGGAAATGCACGGTGATAATATATTAATTATTTTTATGATATTTTCAAACATTAATGAAAAGATTTTAGTAAATAAATTAATTAAAAAGATTGGCGGACAAGTTACTAGTATTTTTAAGCCTATTACACCAAAAAAACTTTTGGATCATTATTTGCAAAATAATCTAAGAAGAAATATCGAAATCTTATAAGTAAAAACTATAATGCAATAAATTTGGCTAGCAATAGATGAAAAAATCTTAAATCAAAATTTTAATCTTATTTGCTGTAAGCTAAGTAAAATTTAACCCTATAATACATTTAAGATTATTATTAGTATGCTTTAATTAAGAAATGTATTCTAAATACCTTTATATTATTTTTTTATATTTTTCCTTCCTCCTCTTGCCTAAGATCAAATATTGATGTTAATCAACTAATCAACTTTAAGCAGCCTAAGGAGATTTAGCACATAATGAACATTTAATATATTTAATATGTAAGAATAGACTTAGTAATAAAAGTGATTAAAAACTTTATATAGGTATATAAAGATTACTATAGGATTATAACGAAGTCTTATTATAACAAGCTCTGGGTATAATTTTAAATATTATATTAATTCAGTATAAAGGTTTAAAAACATATGGAGGGTTTTACCCTTTGTTAAAGTGATTTCAGGAGTGACGGCGATAGCGAATTAAGTTTACGAATATAATATCATTTGATTACATGTAAGCAAATTTGATCAAACTATGTTGCATCTAAAGTATCGATTTATCTAAAGTATATCTAAAGTGGGGCCCTGACTAAAATTATAACTTAATGCATGCATAAAGATCTAATTTCAGGGGCTTAATTTTATCCAGGCGCTACTTTAAATAATTGCTACTTTTGATATTTGTAATATATTGTGTAAACATTAATAAAAATAAGGGCAAGGTTCCATTTTAAAATTCATCTGTCGAATAAGCAGATTCCATATTTCGTTTTTGGCAAAACGGAACTTTCAGCTGAGAACTAATTTTGAGCTTAAGAAAACTTTTCATTACTGAAAAAATTTTAGACAACTGTAAAGGATTTTTATGTTTTTCTAAATCATTAATGAAGATTATTTCAATTTGCTGCCATTTTGGAATTTGATCACCCTGTAAAATTCTAAAGTACTTACGGATATCGTAATTGGTTGGTTGCTGAAATATTTTTAAAATGTTCGGAAAATTTGTAAGCTTTACTGACATATAGAATTCGTAGTAATTTAACATAACTTCGTCAAAAGTTGTACGTTTAACATCAATCTGTTTGCCTCCTGCCTGAAGTTATGTTGTTAATTTAAGCGACGGAAATTCCACTACGTAGACTGAATTACTATAAGTTTTATAGTGTGCCAAACTTAGCCAATATTGTCGTAATACAAACATTCGTGTAACATTTGGTTATTAAATTCACTGCCAATTATCGCAATCTCAATAAAAACATTCATTATACAACTTTTATAATGTCAAATGAAAAAAGCGTTTGCAATAATTCATTTACAAACCATGATGATGGTCAAGTCATTAATTCCTCGAAACAGTCAGATTTATTATTGCATGATTCGCGGGATTTTCTAAATAGTGTTATCGAAGAATTATGTAACGTTTATAATAAAGAAGTTATTAAAGGAAATCCTATAAGCTCAATTCTTTACTCTATAAATCAGCATTTTACAAACAAACAGAAACAACCAGAAGAAATAATTAAGTTATGTTTAAATAACCAAACAACCCATATTGTTCAAAAAAATTCCATAATTCAAAATATTCTTGCATATTGTTATTTATATGGCAAATGGGTTAATAATGATAATCATAAAGCATTTATTCATTTTCAAAAATCAGCAGAATTGGAAAATTCTATTGGAATGGTCAATCTTGGTTTTTGCTATGAACATGAAATTGGAATTGAGAAAGACAATCATAAAGCATTTATTTACTATCAAAAATCTGCTGATATAGGCAATTCTGACGGAATAGTCAGTCTTGGATACTGTTATCAAAAAGGAATTGGAGTTGAAAAGGATGAATATAAGGCATTCAATTATTATCAAAAATCTGCTGATATGGGTAATTCTAGCGGAATAAACAGTCTTGGAGATTGTTATAGAGAAGGAATAGGAGTTGAAAAGGATGAACATAAGGCATTCACTTATTTTAAAAAATCTGCTAATATGGGTAATTCTAACGGAATATACAGTCTTGGATACTGTTATCAAAAAGGAATTGGAGTTGAAAAAGATGAACACATGGCGTTCTTTTATTATCAAAAATCTGCTGATATGGGTAATTATGATGGAATAGTCGGTGTTGGAGATTGTTACAGAGAAGGAATTAGAGTTGAAAAGGATGAACATAAAGCATTTACTTATTATCAAAAATCTGCTGATATGGGTAATTCTGACGGAATATATAATGTTGGTTATTGCTATCAAAATGGAATTGGAATTGAAATGGATAAACATAAGGCAATTATTTTTTATAAAAAATCCGCTGATATGGGTAATGAAGTTGCAATATTTCAACTTGGCTATTGTTATCTATATGGAATCGGAGCTGCGATTGACAATCATAAAGCATTTGATTATTTTCAAAAATCTGCTAATATTGAATATGCTTCTTCAATGAATTTTCTTGGATATTGTTACCGAAATGGAATCGGAACTACAAGAGACTTAAAGAAAGCCAATATGTGGTATCAAAAGTAATATCATGATTTTGTATTTGCCGTTTTATACAAATACATTTTTTTACAAAGCTAAATTTAAATTGCATTATTATTAGAGGAAAAATTAGATCGTTAGGTAATTATTCTAATACTTGATTTTTATTTCCAAATGCTAAAATTTACAAATTTTTAGCTACACATGAAAGGCAATACGAAGATAATATCGATGATAATGTAAGAAAAATTTTGAATGAAAACAAGATTAATTTATCGTGGATTCCTTATAGTGAATTCAAAGGAATTAAAAAGATAGGACAAGGAGGATTTTCAACAGTATATAAAACTATATGGCTAGACCAAAATTATGGATTTCACACAACAGTAGCGCTTAAGCTACTTAATAAATCAAAATATTTTTATGAAGAGGTAATTTAAATAAATAAATCTTTATGCTTATTCAGAATGATTAACATTTTAATGCTTAATACTAATATTTTTAATTTTACAGTTAAATGCATATTGTGATATTAATTGTGAAAATCCATCATTTTTACAATGCTATGGGATATCAAAAGATTATCATGAAAATTATATTCTTGTTTTAAAATTTGCAGAATTGGGATCTTTGTGCGGAAACCTTCATAAAATATTAGAATTGAAATGGATAGATAAGTTAAATTTACTACATTGCATTGCATCAGATCTTCAAATAATTCATTCACAAAAGATTATTCACCGAGATTTACATAGTGGCAATATCTTGCAAGACAATTTGCATAGTGCATATATTGCTGATTTGGGACTTTCTATATCATCCGATATAGCATTAGAGACAGTGACCACTGGAGTTTATGGAATTCTGCCATACTTAGCACCAGAAGTTTTAATGGAAGGAAATTATACAACATCATCAGATATTTATTCATTTGGTATAATTATGTGGGAAATTTTATATGGTGTGAGGCCCGATAACGTGACGTAAATACTCTGCCGGCAATTAATCGCATTAATGCGATTAATTAAATAAATCAAGGAAGTGGGATTAATTAGATAAAGGGGATTAAT